TGGGCCCCTGCGTCCGTCAGGAGTCCGCAGTGCCTAACAGGGGGTCATGAGTCAGCTAGTGACCCCGAGTCGGTCATAGGCTTTGTTTGAGGAGGTCCAAAGGGTGGACGAAGGACCCATCAGGATCAAAGACCAGGGACCCGATTGGAAGGCTGAAGGGCTTGAGGGGCTGGCTGTAGGTCACATTTAGTAACCCCGCCCTCAGGACTGCGATCACAAATGTCAGTTAGAGGGTCTGTTGTATCGATTTGGGATCCCCTGACACAGTGCATTTTATTTTAGCCAGAGATCACCTACAACGATCAGTCGGCTCCGTGTCAGTCTGATCTCTTGGACCCATTTCCCAAGCACGGGCAAGGCTGGGCCCGCGATTTGCATTGGTCGGAGCCTCTGCAACAATGCGGGGCTTCTGTGTCAGTCGGGGGCCCAGTGCCCAACAGGCTGTTCTGTGTCAACAAGAGGCCTCGAGCCCGTCAGAGACCGACATGACCAACATGGCGAGCCCCTGAACGATCAGTAATGCCCCGGCAGACTGATATGTAGGACCCCGGCCAGAGCACAGGCCCCTTTGATTAAACAAAAGTTACGGAATACCAATGCAATGGATTAATGCCCCCGTACGATCAAGAATGCCCGGGCAGGTTAAAAGCAACGACCCTGATAGGAGTGAAGGGTCCTCCGCGAATGAGACCAAAGGGAAAGAGGACTAGTTCAAAGAAGAGTTCTCCTGAGCATCACGTGGCTCGGTACCTTACCTATATGAGTCCAGCAACAGCACAAGGCCCACCGAGCAAGTCAAAGGAATTCGATATGAATGTGAAGGGCCCATGAGCAACTGACTGTACCCTGGCATATGGCGCCTCGGAAAAAGCGCGTTAAGCGTTTCAGGCGAATGGAAAGAATCGGTGGAGGAAAACCTGATCAACCAAGAGTGTCCAGGCATGTAATCAAATGGCGCTCCACCAGCAGCGTAGGGCCTTACGAGAAAATTTGAAGATGTTAAGGCCAACGTGGAAGATTTCTGAGCGATGCGCTTGACCCGGCAATTTAATATGCAGGCCCCGAGCAGCAGCGTAAGGCCTCTAGATAGCGTAACCAGCCCCAAAATCTACCTAAATCAATATCTTCTCAATCAGCGGAGAATTAGCTTTGTCTGCTCATAGGCTCATCATTTTCGCTCGCAAGTGTTCTTAGTCATCTGTAGCCCAAACAAGTCCAATTTTGTTCCGTTTTGTGTTGGAAAACTGGGTCTATTTGGTCGGTTACCGGCCCCTTCAGAGCCTATGGCCCCGCTCGGGGCACAAGGAGGCATGGTCCCGTGCGTTCCCCGTCCTCAGATGAGGACCTTGCAAAGAACATAGGGGCATTTATTTAAACAGAAGTGCCCAAAACACAACATGGAGGGCCCCGAACGATCGAGTGTGCCCGAGCGGAGGGAGCGTAGGGCCTTCCATTCAAATATGAAATACACACCACACGATGTAGAGAGCCCTCGAATGATCGAGTGCGCCAGAAGAGGTTAACAGATTAGGCCCCAAAAAGAGCGGAACGACCTCCATTCAAATAGGAAGTACCCAAAACCAGATGTAGAGGGCTCCTAGTGATCAAATGGATCCGAGCATCTTATCAGAGGAGGCCCTGACAACAGTGTAAAGCCCTCCATTCGAATGAGAAGTAACCAAAATCCAGTGTGGAGGGCCCCCGAAATATGGAGTGTACCTGAGCTGGTTATCAGGTGACCCCGGTAGGAGCGCAGGGTCCAAATTCAAACACCAAGACCCAGTATGCGCCCCCCCCCCGAACAATTCAGTGAGGCTGAGGAAGCGAACAGAGGGGGGGGGGGGGGGCTTCCATTCAAATAGGAAGTACGCAAGACGCAATATGGAGGGCCCCTGAGCGATCGAATGTGCCCGAGCTGGTTATCAGATAGGCCCTCGACAGAGCGTAGGGCCCTTCCCTTCAGATAAGAAAGGGGGATTCTCGCAATATCTGATGTTCGTAACCACTAAGGTATCATAACACCTAATGTTCAAAACACCTAGTAGCAGGATGGGCCCCAGTAACTGTCCAGGGCCCTTCGGACAAATACACAGGAAGTAAGGGCTACGTGGAAAGCTCATTGGCAATCGGATTGGCCCTGCAAGTGGGCAGACAAACACACCGGAAGCAGCATAGGGCCTGTGGGCAGCGTAATACGCGTTATGATATCCCAATCACGATCGTCTCAATCAGTAAAGAATGATTTTTTATCCTTTCTTCAACTCCTCAGTTTCTCTTGCGGCTGCTCTTGGACGTCTGAAAGCCCAAATATTTTCAATTTTGTTGCGATTTGTGTTTAACAAAATGCATCTGTTCCGCCAGCTTAGGCCCCTTCGGAGCTTATGTGTCCCTTCGGGCCCAAGGGGGCCCATAACTCCGTGCCCCCTCTGGATCCGCCCCTGGAGACAACGAAAGGGTACTGTGCCCTTGCGGGCCCCCAATGCCGAACAGCGGCCCTCCAATCCAATTCCAGCACGGACCCGTTAAGCTGAACTGGAGTCTGCGCGCTTATTATTAGACCACCTACGGCGATCACGGTCTCCTGCCCCGGCCTTGCAGCTGATTGGAAAGTGGGATCTCGGGCCCATGTCGACACGGAGCCGGCTGTGCGGCACTGGTGGTGTCCGACCAACAGATAGGCCCATGTCAACTCAGGAGGTCCTCGATCGGCGCAAAAAACAGCGCTCTGTCATTTAAGGGCTCGTTACCGCAGGCCGGGCCCCTGAAGAAGACACCGACAAGCCCTTCGTGTCCTTAAGCCCTCCCACCGGGCCCCTAATCGTCGGTCCCGGTGGGCCCTCCAGGCTCTTCGGACCTCCTCGAACACTGCGTCTAGCCGACTTGGGGCCCTTGCAAACGCAGAACCCCTGTTCGGCGCTGTGGGGCCCTGGCGGACGCTGGGACTCCACCAATGCAAATCGCTGGCTCCTGCTTTGTCCATGCTCGGAAAATGGGCTCTCAGGCCCATGCCGATACGGAGCCGACTGTGTGTTTAGGGAAAACGCCCTGGCGCTCACACGCACACGTGGGGCTTTCGGCAGCAAAGTAGGATTCTTCTACATCCATCGGAAGAGCCCACGACCAGCCTGGAAGGCCCTCCGATAAAGTGGGAAAACCCAAGACCACTGGGGACGGCACCCTCCCGGTAAGTGTAGGGTCCTCAGAGCAAGCGAGAAAAAAAACCACCAACGATGTGGTGGGCCCCCTGACCGCTCAGAAGTTACCCGGTAGGTTAACGTATAGGGCCCACACTAGAGCGCAGGGCTTCTGAGCAAAGGAGAATAACCCAAGACCAATGTGCATGAATGAATGCCCTTGAGCGACCGAGAGCGCCTTGGCAGATGGGCATATAGAGCCGCGAACCATAGGTCAGGGTCCTCCGGGCAAATGTGAAGTACCCGAGACCATTGCAGCAGGCACATATGCGATCAAGAGTGCCAGGGCGGGTTAACAGAAAGGGCCACGACAAGAGTGAACAGTCCTCCGCAAATGAGATCAAAGGGATAGAGCCCTAGGCCAATGCAGAGGGTCCCTGAGCGTGGCGTGTATGGGTGCGGTGTTAATTTAGGGCCCCAGCAACAGCGCAGGGCCCTCCGAGCAGCCGGGAAGAACCCCAGACCAATGTGAAGGGGCTCTGAGCGACCAAGAGTACCCCGGCAGGTTAACATACGGAGTCTTGACAAAAGGTGAACACAGTTTTTGTGACAAATGGGAAGATTTCAGGTAGGCCCAAAGACGCAGTGTTGTTAAGCCTTGTGTTAAAAACGGGGTTCGTTTGCCCTGTTAGGCCACTTCAGAGCAATTACGGTCCCTTGGGAGGCATAGGGGAAGAGTATGGCTCCGTCCTCCCCCCCCCCCCTCTCCTTTGGACTTTGGATCCGCCAACAGGCGGGGCCATCCTTTACAAGACCTCACAAATTGGTTCGTCTCGGCTGACCTCCTGCTGAGCGGTCACGCACTCACAAACGCAAACGCTGCTTATATCTTCAATGGTTGAAAACCATGTCTGTGTCATGCGATTAACACAATTTCCGCCAGTACTAAGATCCCCAAGTCCACTCGCTGCTCCCCTGCTATTCGAACCGCGACGCGAGATATCCAAGGATTCTGACTACCTACATGGCTTCGTTTCATCCAAGTCACACCTGAACCAGACGTAGCGTCGAAGAGATCCGCCGAAGCACGGAGATGGAAAACTGCGATTAAAACGTGTATTTGCACATTGGAATCACAAGAGCCGAGATCGATGGTGAGCATCACACAGCGGAGATGAAGGCAATAACGTATCACTCGCGGCATCGCGGGAGTCTGCATGGCGGAAAACCTCGAACGAACCCTCACGTCTTCCAAACCTCCTACTCCAAATCTCGATCTAAAGCTCACAGTCGTTACGCGGTGATGATGACACAGCAAGCCAGGCGCATTACGCTAACTGGTCGTGGAGTTGGAACCGGGCACCATGCAGACCGCCTGCGGAGAACACCACGGCGACGAGGCGCGGGAGTACCTCCGCCGAACAAATCATGATCAAATACGGGTCGCCCTTCGAGCATCACAGCCTACATTAGGTCCACCCCTGCATAATGAACACCACCGCACGTCGATCACCATACACGCCGTGCTGGTAGCATAAAATGGCGTAACCCATGGGAAAACGAGCCCATGGGGCGAGATGGTAAAGGTCCTCTGGGCTCACTGGCGCTGCGGCTACACAACGCCGAGTAGTGTCGACGGAGCGACAGCCTGCAGCACCGGCTCCGGCCACACAACAGCCTGCGCCGGACGTCCGGACCAGAGGTCACAGTCGGCAGCAGCACCGGCTCCGGCCACACAACAGCCTGCGCCGGACGTCCGGACCAGGGGTCACAGTCGGCAGCAGCACGGGCTCCGGCCACACAACAGCCTGCGCCGGACGTCCGGACCAGGGGCCACAGTCGGCAGCAGCACGGGCTCCGGCCACACAACAGCCTGCGCCGGACGTCCGGACCAGGGGTCACAGTCGGCAGCAGCACGGGCTCCGGCCACACAACGTCCGGACGAGAGGCCACAGTCGGCAGCAGCACCGGCTCCGGTTATGCTCACCCCTCCGCTATCACCCATGAATCAGCCTCACGCAACACACGTCAGCGGCAGCACAGACCAACGTCTAGTATGCGTAATGCATACATTTACTTCCGCACGTTAATCTTTGTTGCGTCTCGATTCCACAAGTAATGCCAGTGGAGGAATACGTGCGCTCGCCTTGATCCTATCATATCCTTTCTTCATCACCCAATCTTATGACCTTAAAGTTTTGTTCTAACCACGCCCTGTTCTATTTGTTCAACTTGACTAATGCAAGGAGCGTCAGGTGTTTATGGACACATAAAGTCCAATACGATAGACACTGACTCCTAGCACTCAGTGTACCAGCCTCTGCAAGGAGCCCGCATTATATGCTTCCATCACAGGGAATTCATCACATCACATGGCGAAAGTGTGGTGTTTTAAAATATACCAAGGCTGACAAGCAAATGTTCCATATAGCATCATCACGGTAGTCAGGCTCCAAACGTGCTCAGGGACATAAATTATGCCGATACATACATACGTGGACTACGCCAATGTGACCTATCTATGGGCGATCTGGGAAGGTATCACCAAAAGCACAACACACAGCATGCACTGATTTGAAGTAGCTGATGGGCGCACCGCACTCCTTACCCATCGCATGCATTGGTGTGATTCATACACATCTAGCCGCATCGCTGCGCATGTCCCCAACTTACATCATGTTGGCGGCAACACCCCACAGAGCCAGCTAAACACACGATGGTCCCTACACATACTCAAATATCAATTCTCTCCACCACCTTCCACGCCGCACGCATCCGAAGACTCAGCAACGCAGGCGTCCTGCTACGTCAGGAAGATGACGAAGACGAGGAAGAAGGTGATGAGGACCCCGAACACCTTGACCATAAGCCAGCGGTTGGAGGAGACCGACTGGAAATACTTGAGGATCTCAGAGTGCGCCGCCTCCACGTTGACCGACGTGTCTTCCACGTTGGCGTCAATCCTGCCGAGCCGGCGCGACGTCAGGTCAGGTCGCATGACACCACCAGGTCAGCCGAGCGGCAGGGTGCCTGCTGACTGGGCCAGACCGGCGTCGGCAGCAGGACAGCGTCTAGCGTGGGAGGCTAGTGACCACCGCATCAGCCGGCCACGCCCACTGTAACGTCCGGCAGCCGTTACAGCAGCCACCCGACGTGTCCGGTGCCACCAGCGCACGGCGTGTCAGAGAGCGTCGCGTGCTGCAAAGCCGACGGGCATGCGCAGCCGATGTTGTAGACTACCGCGCGATAGCACGACGCGACGGGCGGTATCGTTCCGGCACGATATGTGGGCTCCGAGGGGCCCAACCATATTTTGTCAGCAGCTGATCATTACAACATAATTCAAAGGTGAATTTCAACCAGTATGTCCCAGACATACACTCTGCCCAAAGCCCAAGCAGTTTGTCTTCATCTCCCTTTCCAAATATATTCCTTGGACTGAACTTCACCAGCTCAGCCCTGCCCTCGCTGGATGCCCCCCCCCCCCCCCCCCTCCACGCTTCTGAAAACATGCGAGTCCTGGGGAGGTCTTACCGTTCCCAAGCCCTCGAGCTCACCTCTGCACCATTTCGCCGTGCTCCTGGACCATGTGGGCCAGCTGCTGGAAGATGGTACCCAGCTCCACCACCGTCGACTCGATATTCTTCATCGCCTCCGAGCGGCTTTCGTATAGGAACGCATCCTGTCGGGCGCACGGGACACGGTCAGGGGGCAGCGCGGCGCGGTTCCGGGGCGGCATGGAGCGGCACGAAGACATCTCGGGGGGGGGGGGGGAGGCCAGGTGCACCGACCTTGCACTCGATACACCCTCCCCTCTCCCACGGCGTCGTCGTGGGGGCACACAAGCTATGACGGGGCTGAGGAAAATGTTAGCACAGTTCTGACCGTAGTGTGCCATACGTGTGCACAGCATTTGCAAACCGACGGAGTGCGACGAAAAACACTCAAGTACCCAAGAAGTACTCAGGAACAGTTGAAGACGAGGACGTACTCAGTTGACCGAAGTATTTGGGAACACTCCAGGTGTGTCACAAAGTGAAAAATGTCTATTTTTAAAAGGGCAACGGTCCAAATATGACGAATACGACCCCAGGGCAGGGAATCTCTATTCCCTGACCTGCTTTCCCACGAGCATATATTGACCAGCAGCCTGCCCTGACCTGCTCACCTTTCCCAACCCCCCCCCCCCCCGTGCCCTACACGAGCATCTACCGGCCTACAGCGTGACCTGACCTGCTCCTCGGCGAATATCTGCAGGGAGGCGGCGGCGCCGTTCATGTCGATGGCCGCGTGCGCGCGGGCGGCCGCCTCCTCGTCGGCGAGTAGCACCGAGCCGCGGTGGCAGCCGCTCAGCGCCGACGGCGGCAGGCTGGCGCTGACGCTGCTGCCCGAGAACTGCTGCCGCCGCCGCCGCTGCTGGCGCAGGCTCTGGGGAGCACGCCGCCGGCACAGTCAGCGGGGCCGTCCGCGCGGCACGGCGGGAGCGGGGCTTCGCTGTGGACTTCGCTGACAGCCACAGCTTGACTTTGACCTGCCATAGGTTATCGGGCTTCATGGTACACCCAACCCTTTCCAAAAGTCCCGCCATTCAGTTGTCTATCACTATGCAAAGTTTCGCGCGACTACGCCACGCCGTTCGGCCACCATTCTGGAAAACCAGGTGGGGGTCAAATTCCTCCCCTCGCTAACCTGAGGGCGTGTTAACGCATATCCGGCACGCAGGTACGGAGCGAATACAACAGCTCTCATTTTCCAAAATCTGTACACATAGAAGCCAAAGAATTCAGAAGAACAGCAAGGATTATGTGCACCAGAATCTGTCACCGCCACCGAGCGCGTGCGGTCTGGGTATGACAAAGCGATCAGCGATGGTGGTTGCCAACATGATCTGCACAATAATTAAGCTACAATTTCACCAGACCTGCACGAAGCGTGCCGAACTGACAATACGCTGGCTCTGAACAACGTTGTGGGAAGCTCACAACTCTCCTCTACAAATGACTTTCATAACTGAACCACGACAGTGGTTGCCTGGCGTTCCACATGTCATCAAAATTTCGGGTACTCGGTGCATGACATAACAGCATAGTGCAGTATGTAAGGGAATGTTGAAATAAGCTAATTTATAACTAATGGTACCATTTACGTGACAATAACTGTTCTAGACAACACAAATTATTCGTTAAGTAAATACGCAGCTCAATATGTCATTGATCACGTCATCGCAGATTGCACAACACTGATTAAGAGCCAACTGAGGTCCTCCTATCTGGAAACTGTGTCCACAAACGGCAGATATGAACGACTCAACAATGATATTTGCATTGCCTTAATCGCTGCATGGCCAATGGAACGCCAGTATTTGAATGACGTCATTAATACGTCATGGATGCCTGGATGAGCTTGGAATAGTGCGCACGTCTTCGCGGGTGTGTAGCTAAGAAACTAGAAGGGTTTATGTCTTAGGAAGGGCAGGGCCGTTAACACTCCATATATACCGTGCGCGGTCTCCAAGCGAGGCGCATCGCGAATCCCATCTGGAGAAGGTTCTGCACCACAGCACAATCGGAGGGTCAGTTTCCAGGTCCGTTGGTGACTCGGAGGGTCACCATAACTCTGCCCAGCGTTCGTCCCCCCCCCCCCCCCCCACCACCACCATCACTACCACCGAAGCCACGGCGCCGCTCACCTCCGTGCGTCTCTCCAGCACGCCTTTGAACTGGTTCGACATGGCAGCCAGCTTGGACTGCAGCGTCACCACCACGTTACTGGAGAAGTGTTGCACGTGCTGGCCAGCGGCCGGCGTGCGGGCGCGGCCCAACTCCTGCAGCTGCAGGATCTGCTTGTTCAAACTGGCCATGTCCTGCCTTATGATGTGTGTCAGCTCCTCAATCTCCAGCGGCCGGTCGTTGTATATGGACTTTCGCTTGGCCACTGGAGCAAAGGTCGCCATTGGCAGCACGGAAGGCACGGACAGAGGAGGCACGCATGTCAATATAGAGACGTCATACATTACATATGAGATGGCTTTTAAAGCACCATTCTTCACCACTTCAAATCCTGGGAAGAGCTGATGAAAGCATAATCGATAATGGGTGTTCCCACCTTCATAAGACTTTAAGTCGAAAGTAATCATACGTTTTTTGATCCCGGATGAAAGGCGTCTTAAAAACACCACTAAGACCATTCGTAGGTTACCCAACATAGATGTAAGTTTCAGTGCATTATCATGTCTCCGCAAACAGTCATGTATGCTCGAACTGGGCCCCAGGCATACATGCGCTGCTCCCTGCATACCACCACAACGGATCCCACGCCCGTTGCCAGAGACACGGCGCCGCCACTCACGCAGCGTCAGCTTCTCCAGCTTGGCGTACGTCTGCGCGACATCCCTGCCGATCAGCTTCGCAATGGCCATGAACTGGACGTGTGGCAGGAGGCCGGCCGGGCGCGCGGCGTGACCGGCCGGCGCCGGCGCCAGCTGGCGCTCGCGCAGGGAGCGCAGCACGGCGGCCAGCTCGGCGGTGCGGTCGCGGCAGGCGGTCACGTGCGGCAGCGCCGGAGCGCGCATGGCAGCCGCGCTCACCGGCTCACCGGAGCCTCACGTCACTGGGGGACAGGCGCGGCACGTCACGGTCGGCACAGCGGGCATGATGAGCAGGCTCCGGCCGGGGTGCCTTCCGCGCCTGTTGTTGCGCGATAGAGACCGGTGGGGGTGCGCGCCCCAGGAGTCAGGTGGGGCGCCGAAGATCCCCAGATGGGGAAGCTCACTCTGACCACAGGGGTCTTACTGACGAACCCTGCATGGAACAGTGTGCTTGCTGCCAGGGAGATAAGCCCAACTCTTTTGCAGGTCTGGCAACTGGTTACCAGCATCAGGGTTGGAAGATGGATGAGGTTATTTATACTTTCAAAAATGGGACAACCATTGCCTGAGAAACTGCAGTTTTGTTGGTATAGCTGATGCCTGGTGCAAACTACCTGTGTAATTGTAGCACCATGATCAATGGCATAAACACACAAGAAATCCTTACAGTGCTAAACATGGCTTGGGCACAAGTGGATAACCTTCAAGCAACTTCTTGCTCCAGTATCTAGGAATAGGACAGATCAACTACTCAACATGAAGATCCAGCCAATGCTAACACTAATATTTGTTACAGCAAGGTTTTTGACACAATTCCCCACTAGCCTAGCCCATATTTTTTGGCTTTGTGACTGGTGGTCACTTTATGAACCATATAATGATGGCTCTGGTGGGTGGTAGATGACAGCACATGGTAGCCAATGGTTGCCAGTCTGGCTGGGCAGAAGTTACAAGCCAGATTATATAGGCTTCAGCACAGGGCCATTGCTTTTGTTATAAGCTGCAGCTGAGATGGGTGAGCCAGCAGCAAACTGACACCATTCTATGGATAAGAGGATCACACATCTCTTGCTATGGGATGACAGGACACCAGAAGAAGATGTCATCCTACAGATGGTGGAAGCAGTTATCAAGGTATCTCGAGTTAGGATCTGTGGATGTTATTTGTGTGTTGATTAAAAGTCATGATAATACTGATCATGTCTATTCTGGTCAAATCTTTCATGCAGCATCACCTGGAACACCATTAAGCTCCTTGATTTCATTTGAGATGCATGAAGAAAACAAACCTTATGCAAACTCGATCCAGCATTATGAAATGAGCACAGCCCATTAACAGTCAACACTACTGCAGAAACCACTGAGAGAACATAAATAATCATTGTTTACCATCCACTTCTTAGAGCTGCTGGCTTTAGAGGCAAGGCCTTTTCACCAACTACAACTAATGAAATATGAATACTAATATAACTGTTACACCAACTGCATCTGATATTAATACATTTAAAAAATAATTAGTGAACACTAATATATAATAATCACAGGAGCTGTTTGAATACCAAACAGCCACCTAGGCCAGAAAAAAGGGTGAGTACCCAAGTCATAACAGAAACCATAATGATCCTGGCCATTGATTCAGAGACATAAAAATCAACCTAAATCAATGTGGTTTACCTAATCTATATTTTTAAAATATTTCACCTATAATTACTTCTTTCATCTTATCAGCTAAAAGTATGGGCTAGTGCTGCCCTGACCAATATGTCATTTCATTACACTTGCCTCCCTGCCCAGAGTAAGTATGAGATGGCTTTTGCATGCTGTTGTAATGTACAGTGAAAACACTCAAACCAAATCATACTAGATGAACTAAATACATCTCCTACAGCCTTCCAGAAGTTTCAATTTAGAGAATGATTTTGCTGTAAGTGAATGCATTTCCACAGGTCAACTGTGAGCTTCATTATGATATGCACATACACAACACTTGATATCACAGCCACACACAGATATGGAACAACCAGCAAAACCCCACTTGAGACTGTGCTTAGTACTGTGAGAGGTGCAAATTTTAGCATAACTGACCTGGAAGCAGAATAAAATCTAGTTAGAGACCAGACAAACCAGGCTGCCAAGAAACATGTCACACAAAACATTTTCAGAGTTAACTACAATACCAGAGCTGCTGGCTATAAATCTGAGAGGTGAGTTTGATACATGCTAGCCAACAATTTCTGGACATGGAGTCAATACAGGGGTGGAGCAAAGCATTTCTCATTGGGATGTTGGGTGAGGGGGCAACTCATGAACTTTACCCATCCCATTTCCCAGACACAGGTAAAAGCTGTTCTACTGCCAAAAATTCTACTGAAAGCAACAAACATTTCAAGCTGTGTTTATGCTCAAGAGTTCATGTTCCAAGGATGAGCACAGGACAGCAGATGGGCATTGGTAGCTTAGTTATGTGTCTTTAAAGGCATCTCATAGCATATGAAAATCACGCTATATCAATAGTTCATCTTCCTTTGGTTCAGACAGCTTATCTACTCAAGAAAAAACTGCCACTTTCTGGTCAGAGCACCTCATTGTCATAGTGGGCACCACATGTGCTACACATGGTGCTGATTTGAGGCTGCTCCAGAAGGCTGCATAAAGACCACAATTTTGAGATGGCATTGTGCTCTTACCAGAAGTACCAGTCACTGGGATTTACAAAGATCTTTCATTGAATGGTGTCATGGTAATGCTCCAGGACTTTAAAATTTGGTTGTTTCATTCTTTTGATGACTATGCCATCCATCCCCTCTGGTCACTCACAAAGCCCTGGTGCCCCTTTGTGCCATCAAAATGTTATTGTGAACAGACACCAAAAGCCTTCATGTCAGGACCACACAGCCTTTTATAACACAAGGCACCAAATTCCTGGGCCACCACGACAGTTCTGAAAGTTTTGTTTTTGAGTGGCCCAGACTTTCATGGGCACCGCAATCCCCAAACAAAATCCTGGACTGGTTTCTTGGGCAAGGGTCATCACAAGCTTAATTGATGGCAGCCACAATATTTATATTTTTAAAAAATATGTATCCTTCACCCTGACAAAGTTCCTGATATGCTCCATATTCAACATTTGGCTAAATGACACCAAAATATCAGTTTCAGGGAGCCATATCCTTCCTTTTGTAGGGATCACTCATTCCAGGAAATCCCCTAAGTCCCCATCATGTGTTTTCCAAGAGACAACAAATCCCATGGGAGATTGCAATGCCTGTTGTGCTTCACCGACAAAATCCTTGATCAACCCATTTGTAATCTTGCAAAGCTTTTGAAAAATATATTTAACCATGCTTAATTTAGTGCCTTGCTGGTGTAGAATAACTAATACTATGAAACATCGGTACTCAGGTCTAGTTTAACCCTGTAGAGCGGGAACCCATCGCCACAACACCCACCTCACCACGTACCAAACCACGACGACGAAGGCCACAATCCTGAATATATCGGAAGAATTCCGGTGATCTCGTCTTTAGCGCGTTCGGCGCAAGTGCGTAGTTATTGTAATGCCAAAAAACAGGATGCTGACAGCTGATTTACTTCAAGCTTGATTGGCTGCTGAGCAGTGACCATCATGAACTGCGACCGTCAGCCAACAACAGTTGAAGGGTGTATACGCACCGCATTTTCTAACACAGACGCACCAAAATTTGACGTCTTAAGGCTTCCTGGTGACCTAGAGCGGCCGTCGTAAGCGAAAATGAAGGGCCCACGAGTAAACAAAAGTAATTCTCACTGATTGAGAGGGTCGTAATTGGGGGATTTTAAGGCCAATTAGGCTATCCTGAGGTCCCTTACTGCTTCCGGGTGCCTAAATGTCTACCTGCAGGATGCTTCCGATCGTTAAGTAGCCTTCCAGGTTGCACCCGATTTCTTTGAATTTGCCCGGAGGGCCCTGCGCTGTTCCTGGGCCCTTCCTGCCGGAGTGCCGGGGCCCACTGGTTAATTTCCACGGATTCTCTCCGTTCGCCCAAAAGGCTCTGTACGCTATAGCCGGAGGCCCTCTATGGAAACCTGCCGAGATATTCTCGGTTGCTCAGGGGCCCTCCACGTTGGTCTCGGTTAAGCTCCCGACAAACTCGCGATACGCTCATGGGCCCTCTTCATTGGTCTAGTACCCATCAAATTCTCTGTCACTCGCTTGGGCCTTACGCTCTTTTCGGGTTCCATCTGTTAACCTGCTTGGGCACACATGTCGTTGGGGCCCTCCAGATTGGGTCTTCGATACTTTGTATTTCAATGGAGGACCCTACACACTTGCCAATGGCCCATCTGTTAAAATGCTCGGGCACACTGGATTGCATGGGGCCCTGCACATTGGGCACTTGAATTCAGGGCCCAACACCCCTGTCGGGGACCTTCTGAAAACCTGCTCGAGCACGCTTGATTTTTCGGGGGCCCTCTACACTGGGTCTTAGGTGTTTCTTATTCGAATGCTCTCGATCGTTCAGGGGCCCTCTTCATTGTGTCGTGGGTATTTCTTATATGAATGGAGAGCCTTATGTCCTTGTCGGGGTCCTAAAAGCACAGGCGGGGGGGGGGGGGGCACAGGGAGCACGTGCCTAGAACCTACGATTAAGGGCCAGATTTGAGGACCGAAGGGCCCGAAAGGCCCATCGGAGGTCTCATTCCGGGGCCCCGACCCGCAGGGCCGGGCACTCAAATGTCAGTCAGAGGGCTCTGCGGCTGATCAGGGGCCCACTAAGTCGATAAGGATAAGCACATGAAGCTCGTCCCCTGCACGTCTTCGCTGGGCTCGACGACGTTTGCGCACCATGCCGTTCGAGTTACTGGTCATTTAAAGGTGAACATAGTGCATACGCACCTAACCAACGTCAGCGAACTGTCTGCATCAAGTGACATCACGAATGTTTGAAATCGCACCATTGCAGGTTTACTGCATTATGCATACGAGGTCATGCCTCGTATCAATATGAGATTCGGACAGACGCGTTCCTTGTTTAATTATGAGAGCAATGGTACATAGTTTTACGCATTTTAACCGTGTGTTGATCATGTATGGATACGTTAATGTAACAATACCATACCCCCGCGCGCGTTCCGTGGCATCGTCGCTTGCCGTCCCACTCCCCTTCTGTCCCCCAGCCGGCCGACCGTAGATCGCCGTGTATCATGTTTCAGAAACCGCCGCTGCTCCGAAACCACAAGAGCTAGGGGCGCGTTGTTTTGTGTCAAAATACGTACAAATAGATGCCCCATGAGTTACCAAAAATTCGGGCGCGATTGCACGACATTCGGAGAGTTATATTCAAGAAGCCTTGGGGGTCGCTCGACACCGCCCCCCCCCCCCCCCCCACCCCTATCAGGACCAGAGGTTGTTGGCTCCAGGGAGAACCAACCTTTGGGCAGACCCCTATCTCACTCCGCACTTTCAGAGACATAATCATGCCTATGCTTAACTTGCTAACATAATTCATGATACAAGCTCAGCTTTGCATCAGACCAGGACAAAGTCACAGCCTAGTCACAAATCAGGACCAGTGGAAACCAAACCAGGAACCCACTTAAAGAGTGACTAATCTTAAAGAGTCAAAAGAGTTAACTTAAACTTAAGGACTAAAAGAGTGACTAAACAAACCTTGCTCACAGTGCCCAGCATCGTTGCGATCTTTTGACCCCTTCGTGCAGGCTCGAATGACGTCAGGCGCGCCGAGCATACACAACGCATTTGATGTGTGCAAGCTTCAAATGCTTGTTTGGTATTACGTGCGCAAGTAAGAGAATTTTTCGAATCTGGTAGCCTTCCACAATTTTTACTAGTAGTGGAATTTCCATATGTGCTGGAATAAATACGCGCTGGAACTCCCAAGCATAACTTGAGATATTTTATCAGGAAAAGTCTCTAGCGACTTGAAAACAAAATAATCCCCCTCCCCACCTACCGCAAGGAAGTAAATGGAGAGATCAACGGAAATGGATGTGGGTACGCCAAGCTTTGTGCGGGGCAACGTCCGTCGGGAGCCGTGGACCGATTGGTACGTATTGAATTGAAAATTGCGTTGCGTGGTGGGCATGGAGTGATGGAGGGTAATAGCAATGCGGGTGCGGGATGCTCTCGTGTGTTATTGGGTCTAACTACGCACTCGGCCGCTGAAGTTACGTCGCCTGCCTCATCTGACAAGAAGGTGACGCTTGTGGACGCTCGTCTTAAAGGTGGGGTTGAACCCATGCTGCTTGAGTTCACCCTGTGTTTTGCCATTTAGCCAGCTGTAGGTAGTGGGCATGTGCTCAGATGCTGTTGCATACAAAGAGGGAGGGCTTGCATGGCTCTAACCCCATGCTCAGTTTTTCATTTAAGTACTCCTGAATATTATTTTGAAATCTGGTATTAGGAAAACTATTTTGGGTTTCATTCCCAGTCAGTGCTGTGGACAGCAGCATATAGAGTCAAGCAGCCATAGTTATGATATGATATGGTTTTGGAAAAGTGCATTTGTCTTAAGAAAAGTAATGTACTGTATTATTGTGCATGCAAATACTACCACCTTAACAAATTTTATGTGTATGCTAGCATTGCTTGTGAGTCAACATTTTCCTGTTGTTACAGGCATTATTACTTGTGTGAGCAATGCTTTGGATTGAAGCGGCCATAGCTGCTGCACTGCGTGGATGTGAAAGCATTGCATTCACTGAAGCAACCTATTATTACTTTTCAGCATGCTGCTGTAAGCTGTGAATGCTTTGAATGGTGTGGTCACTCTGGGCTGCACAACACTTCCTGTCACAACAAATGACAGAAAATTTGTATCTGCCACAACAAATGCAAAATTATAGGTCTATTTTGTTAACAGTGAGTGCCTGTACTGACTCATTGATTTTTGCCAAACAGCTAGTTTTTAGTTTGGGATTAATTTTACAACAAGCACAGAGTTTCATCATACAGTGTTACTCATCTATGATGGTGTTCAAACCAGTTGCATTTCTTTTGTTAGCTAGCTGTTCATTATTTACAATTGCATCAATTCATTTTTGTGTCAGCAGCATGTTGCCACGGCTCTGAAACTGGGGCAGGTGAAAAGGCACACTGCATGACATTCAAACTTGGCCTGCATTTTGTTTTCAACTGCTACGGCTCTGCACACGGTCGCATGCCTTAGTGCCTTAGTAAGATACACAAGTGCCTTGTAATAGTGTGCATGCCTTAGTAATATACACAATAAGGCAGGTAGCTGTCACCGGCACACTCATGTTTCGCTTTTCATCGTTGGTCGTGATAGCATATACAAACTCAGTAACTCATACGCTGTGTCGCGTCGGCACCGTCAGCTCCTGTTTCCGCTCCGCGCCTTCAACTGACCGTGGTCCGTCCCCGCTTCGGAAGACTGGCCTTTTTTGGGAGGGACGGGAAATTGAAGCCGTATACAATGCGATTTTAGTTTCCATAAGCGCTTACGCGCCTGCTTCGCTGCACTGATGCAAAATTTGAAAATTTTCATTATGCATCTTTTGCGGTTGAAATCATGGTTGTAGGTGCCCTAGTGGCCTAGAGATATCGCGTAAAGTGTGAAAAAGAGTCGGCCGCAGGCCGCGCAAGGTGCTGACGGTCTCTGGCGGCAGGAGAGAGAGCATTTCGCCTGCGCTCTCTGCAACACAGCCGAACCTATTCCATGGGATCGGCGAATGATCGCGGGACGTCGTCGGTGATTTTTGCCCCTTCCACCAACTGTCAGCCTTTTGAATGATGACAGCACGCACCGCCGTTACATTTAACAACACTGCGTTGTATCGAACAGTGAAAAACGGTCGGTAGCGGCCGTTTTTAGTTAATTTCCTGGCTCGTGCACACGTGACGCCACAATCCAAGTCACGTGATTGTCCGTTCCATTCCTCATTAACGCATGCTACTCCCTAGTGCATCCGTGCCCTGGGTGCAGCGATTTGGCACAAAACGTGACTAATTGCGCAAAAGAGAAAAATCCATAATTCTTAGTAAAAGCCATTCATTATCACGGTTTGACATGCCCTAGTTGCTGCGATGTGGCGCAAAAATCATATCTGTGTATGTATGGCCATGTCTGTGTGTGTGTGCGTCATTAGGGGTTTAGGACGCACCTAGCTGCTGAGGCTGTATGGCGTCGCCTGCCTCTCACCCTGGCAGGAAGGGCGGGCACCGCGGGGAATCGTACCCCGTACCTCTGATTTCCCAGACGCGCAGTGATTAACGCAGTCGTGTTAACCACTACACTACTGGTACCATAACTGGCGTCATATGTGCCATATTATATATATATATATATATATATATATATATATGCATCATATCATATATAACCTCATATCCGCGTTGGCCACATCGTCGGCAAAGTTCGAGTGAACGTTCTCAGTCCTGTGCGCGGCTCCCAGTGCCAGCATTTCAGTGACACGAAACCACTTTGCCGAAGCCGACCAGCCTGTGGCAAGTGTGCCTTGTCTGAATACGAAGGGGACCAGTGTGACGC